CCGTGTTAAGATGCTGCTAATTGCTGGCAAAAAAAAAAAAAAAAAAAAAGGTAGTTGAGGAAAAAACAAAGCAGAATCAGTATAACTATATATATAAAAATATCTATATATGATATATCTTTTTCCTCTGGCATGTGTGATAGGAAGTCAAGGTAAGCCCCAGGGTATCTGGAAAAACAATGAATTTTTTCACAGACCTTTTCTCTTTTACTAGAGTTGCTTATGGCCAAGTTGCCCTTCTGAGCAGTTCGAGTGCTGTCTCAATTGGTTCAGATAGATGGGAACTTCGTGATGATAATTGTAAATTGTGCTTTCATAATTTTTCATTAATTTGGCTCTTTGCTACATTAGCTCTGCTTGATAAGGTAATCTCTGGGACCAGAGCAAATGTGTGGTGACCTAGTTATTAACACATTTTTTTCCCACTATAGATACAAAATGCTGGATTAATGCCTGCTTTACATTTACATGGCTGATGCAGATGGTTGCACTATATATATATATATTTATAAGAAATCCAATTTATACTGTGCATTTTTTAGAACTTTCTATGGATGGGATAGAGCCAGTGGTCATGGATATTTTTTCTTTTTTTTTTTTTCCTCCCCGAATGTATTTAAGTGAACTGTAATATATCACAACAGTGGGAAGTTTATTTGAATATTGCACACTGCTTTATAACCGGATAGAATAATAACGTTTGCATGCATTTATGAATGTTTCTGAGTTGGAAATCTGGCAGATACACCTTGTACACCACAACACACTGCTTTCTGTTGAGTGCTTTCTGCAAGTTGCTTTCAGGCTGTGCATCACACAGTGAAAACCATTCGGTGGAATGTCATAACCAGAAGCATCAACCACTAGGTGGGGCAAGATTTCAGTTATTGTCATTAAGGATGCTACAGAAATAAGTAGTACATAGACTAATGGCATCCTGTAGCCTAACTTGCTATATAAAATAGGCCATAGAGCCTTGTATCCTCATTTTTATATCCATCCTATGGATTGACACCATGTCTGGCGGCACTTGTGCGCGGGAAGGATGTTGTTCCAGCAAGGCAGCTTTATGCAATGCCAGACTCTCCTGTTCTTGTTATTTACTGCTCTCCCTCACCCCCGCCCCCCTTTTTTTTTTTGACTACCCTAAAAGGGCACTATATTATCCTGTGTATCACCGACAGCAGTACTGAACTGTATTCAGCTAAGCACATATCTAGTATGTTCCACTGGAAATATTTCATCTGTGGTTACTTCTTGAAATCTGTGTGTCCTGTAAGTTGCATAAGTTTTTCCATTGTGCTCATTATCTTATTTAAACACGATGTGGTCATAGGTTAAACATCTTACAAATGTCTCCCTGTATTGTCAGCCTAGAGGTTGAGATCTCGTTTAAAAAATGATGTTTGTTTGGGCAGATTGGCTTATGTGTAGAACTGTTTAGTGACCCTAAATATGCTGCCGCACCTGAGTTAATGGCCGGCGGCGATGCTTGTTCTGTCAGAGTGTGGCTGTGACGTGACGGCTTCGTTTCAACATTGTAGAATTTCCAGGTATTCCAAAACATTTTGAAGAGCAAGAGCTGGATGAGTGATGGGGCCAGGTCCGTTATTACAGTTTGGAGAATAATTTTCTGACTTCCCTTCTCCTCCCCCTGTCCGCAGCCTCAGCTGACACCTAACCTGCTCTTGAGCTCTTGCTAGGCTGAGAAATATTTGTCACTTGAAGGTGTGATTCTACAATCTCACTTTCTTATAGGTAAGGAAGTGTTAAGGCAACAGCTATTGTCACCTTTTTTTCCCTCTCCGTTATTTATTTATTTACCTCTTTTATCAGGACCAGGGCCCTGTGTGATTGTTAGGAGTTTGCAGGCTGCTTTAGGTAGGAACTCTTTCTTGTCTGTAGCCTTGCTGCTGTCCAGAACAATCTTGCTATATTTTGAACATCATAATATATATTGAGCTAATTATTAAAGGAAGCTGTTGGTGTATTATATGCAAAATCCTAATTTGTATTGATATACTGTATTTTGACTTTAAAGGTGTATCAACTTCCTAAGTATTTCCTGGCAATACCTAAAATACTCTTACATAGCAATATTACACATTAAAATATTTTGGGGAAGAATTTTTATTCCTATTAATCATTGGAAACAAATGTTGACATTTTGAAATCTTTTCACTTGTATATTGAAAGGGGATCTTTCATAGAGAAAGGACGACTTAAAAGTTTGCTTTCGGAGATTTCATTTTCTTCAAAGCAAGAGTGGATTAGTCGCTTTTTTCTGCTTTGAGTGACATTTTTATCTTTAAGTAAATATAAAAGGGAAAACTTAATGATCTTTATCACTTGCCTTTTTAGCTACATCTGTGAAGTTGCTCTAAGGACATCTGCTCAGTCATAGAGCCTTCTATGTGTAACTCGTTTTGTTATCAGAATTTGTCTCAAGGCAAGCAGCAGTTCAGCTTTCTGGGTGGGCCTTTGCCCGCAGAATGATAGTCCTGCTTCTTTTTTGAAAATGCTTAAGGTAGTTTTGGGGGTTGGATGCCTCAGATCATAATTAATAAAGTGGTAGTGACTTTTGCAAAGAAATCCTCAGATGAATTATCACCAGCCTTGTGGGAGGGAGGGACTGCTGGTATTTGGCCTTACGAAATGAATTTTGAGCTCTGTGTTATTGCCACCTCAAGTGGTGCATTTAGCACAGTGTGACTGAGCTGCTGCTGCTGTTACTAATAGGGAAGACAGACAGTGCTCCAGGCGCCTCTGAGGACCGGAGGGAGTTTGCTGGAGATGGGCACACAGAAGCTTTTCCCCTGTGGCTCCGTTGTGGCTCTTTACCCAAGTCTGTCACGGCAGCAGGCAGTTGCAGTTCCCTCGCTGTCTTTGCGTGGAGTCCCTTCAACAAACGGGAATTGCAGGCAGGAGGGGTCGCCCAGAGCAGGGAGCAGCGCCGTGCGTGCAGGAGGAGATGTGTCTCCGTGCTTATGCGGAGGAGCCCTGGGAATTCCCTCCCGAAGCAGACACCTCGAGAATGACAGATTCCCGGGCATGCTGGCCTTCCCAGGCACCTGTAAGAGCTTTCCCTGTGTTGCTGGCGGCCCTAGGGTACCTCCCGCTCTGTTAAACCAGGTCCCGTGGGCAGAGCAGGCCCACAGGTTGCGGGAGGAGGGCACTCCTGCGCAGTCCCTGCAGAGGGGACACGGGTGCAGGTGCTTGGCCCACTGCTTGGCTTCTGCAGCTGTTCGGTCGCTCATGCACTGCAGCGGGAACGTGAAAATCTGACCTAGGAACGAGAGGGTGGCTGTTTTCCCTCCTTCCCCGTGCTTGTCTGCATTAAGGTGCCTGTAGAGAAGTGTTAGGTGGTCTGTGTCAGGCTGAGCTCAGCTGTGGTGGCACCTCATTAAGTTGTCTCTGGTGATCTGTACCCATGCCTCTGAGGGTGGTAGTGCCTGCCTAGAGATAGTGATCTATCACTATAGCTAGTGATCTCTCACTATCACTTCTATCTTCTATCACTATCACTAATGATAAAAGATTGTGATCATCTTATGCACTACCAGCGATAGTGCTTAAGTGATAAATCCATTTTAAGCATTTTCTTTCTTACCCCATCTTCCAGCTCTGCTTACCTTCCATTTTGTTGTGTTGGAAGTGTATGGTGGTGTCTTTTTGTTTTATTGTATTCTTCTGCATTCTCTGTCTAGGGTGAGGTTTGTGTGTGTGACTAACCAGAACTCAGAGGTGTTTCTGTGCCACCAGAAATCGTCATGTTTGAGTTTGTTAGGGGGCATTTCAGCGCCTGCTTTGCAGTGAGAGCTTCTGGAGGCTTTTCGAGAGGTGCTGCTGTGATGCAGTACTAGCTGCTGCGTTAGACTCAGTATTAGCTGCTGCCTTAGACTCAGTACTAGCTGCTGCGTTAGGTGCCTAGCTGCTCCCCTCAGAGCTGCCTCTGGCACCACGAGCCCCTCCAGCTCATCCCGGCTCTGCTCTTTCACCCCAGCGGCACCCACCACCACTCTGGATTCGCCTCTGTGTTCTCCTTTGCTTCCCGCAGCTTTAGCAGCCCATTCCAGGTGACTCTCTCCTGATTTAACCGCAGTGTCACCTCGTTTCTCCAGGAGCGAGCAGGGTGGCTGGCTCCCATGGAAGTTAGTCTTAGTCTAAGCCACAGCGCCTGAAGTGTTAAGATTATGTGGTAATCTTGCTTTTAAGTGGACACTCTCAGATTGAAACTTGCAGACTTCTGTCCATAACTGTAAACGTGACCCAAGTCCCTTACGGGACCCTGCAACTAAAAGGCCAGCGGAGATCTCGGGTATGTGAAAAGGGCTCTGGAGCCACAGCAAATGTTCCTGTGTGTGTGACTGCCGTTCCTCTGGAAGCTAGTTCGTGTTCGGCATTCCTGCACGGCGCCCTGCCATACCGGTACGGGATAGGAACGTGTGTGTTGGTTGGTGACCCCCGAGATCGGGCAAAAGCGCTTGTCCGCGTGGAGCTCGGGCGGGAGCAGGGAGCCGGCTTGGAGCTGGCCTGGACGGGCGAGCGGGAGCCGGCACACGTGGCGCTGGACGGGAGGGGAAGGGGGAAGGCCGGCGAGGAAGCGGTAGAGCCGAACAGCGAGGGGGGAGTCCGGCGCGGAGCGGGGCTGCAAGGCGGGGGAGGCCGCGGCTCGAGCTCCCTGGCGGCCGCGCCACCATTTTGAGCGGGGCCTCCCGGGGCGGCGCGGGGCGGCCGCGGGCGCGGAGGGAGCG